GAATGTTTCCCCCCATTGTTAAAAGGCATAAGGTTACATCCCAGTGTGAATTCTTCCATGTTTGTGATTATCACTCTGGTGGTGGAAAGATTTTCCACACTCATTACATGCACAGGCTTTCTCCACATTGTGAGATCTTTCATGATGTTGACAGTGACTGTCTGCTGAATGCTTTTCCACACTGCTTATATATATAGGGTTTCTTCCCAGTGTGAATTCTTTCATGTATTACAAGCTTATCATTTCTGCTGAATGCTTTCCCACATTGCTTACATATGTAGGGTTTCTCCCCACTGTGAATTCTTTCATGTACTAGAGGGGTACAATTTTGGCTGAATACTTTCCCACATTGCTTACATGCATAGGGTTTCTCCCCAGTGTGAGTTCTTTCATGTACTACAAGTTTATCGTTTCTGCTGAATGCTTTCCCACATTGCTTACATGCATAGGGTTTCTCCCTAGTGTGAATTCTTTCATGCACTGCAAGTTCACAATTTTGGTTGAATGCTTTGCCATACTGCATACACACATAGGATTTCTCCCCAGTGTGAATTCTTTCATGTACATGAAAGTGACCATTTTGGCTGAAAGATTTCCCACATTGCTTACACACATAGGGTTTCTCCCCAGTGTGTGTTCTATTATGTATTTTATAACTGTGACTGTACTGAATATTTTCACACATTCTGTACATACATAAGTTTTCTCCCCAGTGTGAGTTCTTTCATGATTCTGAGAGACTCTGTGCCTGCTGAATGCTTTCCCACATTGCTTACTTTCACATTTTTCTCTCCAGTGTGGGATATTCTATGTCTATAAAATGAGGACTTAAGAGCAAATCCTTTTCTGCATTGATTACATACATAACGTATCTCCCCAGTGTGAATTTTTTATGTTTTGGGTAGGAATTACTAACAACTGATGCATTTACACATTTCTTGCTTGCATGGGGTTTCCCTTCAGCATGTCTCCTTTCAAACTTTTGGGTAAGGTATAAAGAATTAAAACTATTTTCATAGTGTTTGTATACATGTGGAATCCCCAAACTCTGATTATTTTTATGGAACTGAACATCTTTTGCTGTTGTGGGGGGCCTTCATACTTTTCTTACCTATCAATGTTTTCGGCCCAGTGTGAGTTTGTTCACTAAATTCAGAGTTGGCCTCCTTACACTGCCCATATTGATAGGGTTTCTCTCCAGTCTTTCCATTTTATGCTTCTGAATGGACTGGAAAACTCTGCAGTTACTTCCATGTTCATTACATTTATATAGTTTCTCTTCAAATCTCAAATAATTCTCTGTGTCATATCTTAGATTTCTTGAGCAAATTTTGCCCTCTTCTTCAATTTGCTGGTTATCCCACGTTCTTCCTATAGCATTAACATTCATAAATGTTTTCCACATCACACCTGTATAGAGCGTCTTTTGGGATGGTTTCAGCAAAGCTCACTCTGCCAATGTGAAGTTCACAGCTAGATCCTCAAAGGTCACTTTCTCCATTGCATAGCTTGAGAGTCTCCCAGGATCCTTTGCAACCCTCAGTAAATATTAAAAAAAAAAAAGTGTAGTGAGCGGCAGGCTTCCCATTTGTTGATTCTTGCTGTTGCACAATGGAGGCTCCATTTAGAAAATCCTTTCCTACACCTGTCTATAAGTGTTTTACCTATTTTATCATCCAGTAGGTTTAATGTTTCTGTTTTAATGTTTAGATCTTTAATGTGTTTTGATTTAGTATATAAGGGTCCAGATAAGGATCCAGTTTCAATCTCCTGCACACAATCAGTTTTCCCAGCACCACTTGTTGCATAGACTATCTTTCCTCCAACATATACTTTTGACTCCTTTGTCAAAGATTAAATAGCTGAATGTGTCTAAGGAAGTGTCTGTATCCTCAGTTCTGTTCCATTGATCCATGTATCTGTTTTTGTTCTGTCCCTACGCTGTTTTTTAAATCACTATTGATTTTGTAGTATAGCTTGAAGTCAGGTATTGCTATTCCTCCTTCTTTGCTCTTGTTGCTCAAAATTGCTTTTGCCATTCTGGATCTCTTGGTTTCATATTAATTTTAGGGTTTCTTTCTAGATCTGTAAGTTATGCTTTTGATATTCTGATTGGGATGGCATTGAATCTGTATAAAATTTTTGCAAGTATGGCCATTTTGACAATATTGATTCTGCCTATCCAGGAGTACAGAGCATCTTTGCATTTTCTAAAGTCCTCTTCAACCTCCTTTTTTTTTTTTTTTTTTTTTAAAGAGTACTGCAATTTTCTTTGTAGATATCTTTTCCCTTGGTTAATTCCTAGGTATTTCATTTTTCGTTAAGCAACTGTGAATGGTATTATTTTCATAATTTCCTTTTCATCCCATTCATTGTTAGTGTACACAAAGGCTAATGATTTTTGTATGTTGATTTTTGCATCATGCTACATTGCTGAAGTTTGTTACTAATTCTAAGAGTTTTTTTGGTGGAGTTCTTTTGGTCTTCTATGTAGAGTATCATGTTATCTACAAAGAATGATAATTTGAGTTCTTCCTTTTCTGTATGTATCCCTTTTATTTCTTTCTCTTGTCTAATTGCTCTGGCTAATGTTTCCAGTCATATTTGAATAGAAGAGGTGATAGTGGATATCCTTGCCTTGTTCCTGATTTTACATGGAATGCTTTTAGTTTTTCTCCATTTAGAATGATGCTGACTATTGGTTTGTCATATATAGCTTTTATCATATTCATGTATGGTCCTTCTGTATCTGTTTTCTTCAGGGTTTTTATCATGAAGAGGTGTTGGATTTTGTTGAAAGCCTTTGCTGC